AAGCAGTCTAGGCCTGGTGGCTATTTGGGAGGCTGAGGCAGGAGAATCACTTCAGCTCAGGAATTTAAGGTTGCAGTGAGCTAGGATGACATCACTGCACTCTAGCTGGGGCAACAGAGTAAGACTATCAAAAAAACAAAACAAAAAAAGATAAAATGCATTCACCGTTGAGTTTGTAAGATTCCTTTGTGTGGTTGCATACAACTACAGTAGTCTGATAATTCCCACTGCTGTATTCTATTGTATGAGTATATTAATTTATCCAATTTTATAATGTAGACAGATTGTTTCCAGTTTGGTGATATGAATGCTGCTTCCATGAACATTGCTGTGCATGTCTCCATGCTCAAGTACATGTATTTCTTTCTTTTTTTTGAGACAGAGTCTCGCTTTACCACCCTCGGTAGAGTGCTGTGACATCACAGCTCACAGCAACCCCCAACGCCTGGGCTTAGGTGATTCTCTTGCCTCAGCCTCCCGAGTAGCTGGGACTACAGGCTCCCGTCACAACACCCGGCTATTTTTTTTGTTGCAGTTTGGCTGGGGCCAAGTTTGAACCCGCCATCCTCAGTTTATAGGGCCAGTGCCCTACCCACTTAGCCACAGGTGCTGCCCAAGTACATGTATTTCTATTTGGTATATATCCAGGAGTACTGTCATTGGTTTGTAAGTATGTTTATCTAGCAAACTTAGTAGCTAATACTAAACTATTCCCCAAAGTTAGTTGTATCAATTTACACTCCTACCAGTTCCCATTGTTCCACATTCTTCCTAACACTTAGAATTACCTTTTTTCATTTTAGCCATTCTAGTAGGTGTTTGTTAATATCTTATTGCAGTTTTGTTTTGGGGTGGTTTTTTGTTTTTTTTTTTTTTTTTTTTTTTTTTTGCCTTTTTGGCCAGGGCTGGGGTTGGGTTTGAACCCACCACCTCTGGTATATGGGGCCGGTGCCCTACTCCTTTGAGTCACAGGCATCGCCCCTTATTGCAGTTTTTATTCCTATTCCCCCAACTACTACTGAAAGTGAACATATCTTCATGTACAGAGGATGCCAAAAAATGTACACACATCTTAAGAAACGAAACAGTTTTATTAAAATTTTAATACTCAATATATAGCAATAACAAAAGATGAATGCGTCACTTTTGACTTCTGCAATTATAAGAGGTGCTCAAAGTGGTACCATCAGCTCCAGACACTTCTGATTATGGCAAACTACTGCATGAACAACGTTGAACAGTGTCCACTTGAATCACTGCACATGCTGTTTCGAATTCTTCCCCAAGTACTGCCAGTGTAGCTAGTTTTCTATAGTATACCACATCCTTTAAGGGTCCCCATACTCACGCCTCCATTGTCGTACTTCCACAATGTTCTCAAATTTCAAATACCACTTCTTGTGCTGCTTGAAGGACAATCATGATTCTACCATTTTCTTTGACTATTCTGCCTGTTGCATGATGCTGGCATTCATTTGATTAAGGCCATCTTTTGAGTCAATGTTATACTATTCATTGCTACTGTAACACATTCAACTTCGAAAAGTAATACATAGATAATATCACTTAAAATGTGGCTACGTTTATTTATTTATTTATTTATTTATTGGCACGCTCTGTATTTGCTAGTCATTTTTGAGTTTCCCCTTAAAGTCCCTATTCAGGATTTCATTGTCTATTTTTCTATTAATCCATGGTTTCTTATTTTGCCAGAGTTCTTCACGAGAACTCTTCTGTACTCTCCATGTTCTTGTATATTCTGGATACAATGTCTTTATCTAAATTGTTCAAATATCTCCTCTTACCCACAGGCAAGCCTTTTTACCCTCTTAATGGAAACTTGCGACAAACAGAACAGTCCTTAATTTTAACCTAATCGTCAATCTTTCTGATTTATGCTTTTTAACTCCTATCTTCTCCTTTACAGAGTTATGAACCCATATTATCTTTTAGGAGCTTTATTGTTTTTTTTTCTTTTTTTTTCTCTTTTAGGAGCTTTATTATTTTGAATTTCACATTTAGATCTACAACCTATATAGAATGCATTTTTTTGTTATGGCATAAGGTAGGGCATCAACTAACTTCCTTCCTTCCTCCCTTCCCTGCCTTTTTCTTTCTCTCCTTCTTTTTCTTTCCTTTTTTCCCCTCTCTTTTCTTCCTTCCTTCTTCCCTTCCCTCCCTCCTTCCCTTCCTTCTCTTTCTTCTTTTTCTTTCTCCTTTCTTTCCTTTCCTTTCCTTAATTCCCTTCCTCCCCTCCTTCTTCTCTTCTGTCCTTTATTTATTTATGAGTGTATGACTCTGTTGCTTGGGCTAGAGTGCAGTGGCTCACTGCAACCTCCAACTCCTAGGCTCAAGTTATCTTCCCACCTCAGCCTCCTGAGCAGCTGAGAGTATAGGTGTGTGCCACCATGTCTGGCTAATTAAAACATTTTCTTTTTTTTTTTTGAGGGCTGGGTGAGGTGGCTCATGCCTGTAATCCTAGCACTCTAGGAGGCCGATGCAAGTGGATTGCTTGAGCTTAGGAGTTCGACACCAGACTGAGCAAGAGCAAGACCCGCATCCTAAAAATAGCCAGGCTTGTGGTGGGTGCCTATAGTCCCAGATACTTCTGAGGCTGAGGCAAGAGAATCACTTAAGCCCAAGAGTTTGAGGTTGCTGCGAGCCATGATGCCATGGCACTCTACTGAGGGTGATAAAGTGAGACACTGCCTCAAAACATAAATAAATAAATAAAACATTTTTTTGGTAGAGACATGGGTCTTGCTATATTACTTAGGCTGGTCTCAAACTTTTGGCCTTAGGTGATCCTCATGCCTTGGTCTCCCCAAGTGCTGGGATTACAGGTGTCAGTCACTGTGCCCCAGCCAGAAGTTTCCAAATGCTGAATTCAATTGTCTTTTTATCAATCCTTTTCTCACTTGATTTCCCTACTGATTTAACATTTCTGATTACCTCTCCATCTAGATGTCCTAATTCCTGGGTTCCTTCACACTCTACTTTCCTCGGGTTTATTTGGTTTGCATAACTCTCTGGTTATCATTTCTCATCTCCACTCCACTGCCTCTCTTGATTGGGCCTCTCTTCCTTAACTCCTATTAAAAATGAATATTTTCCCCCAAATTCTGTCCCAGCCCACAGCTCTTATTTTGCAAATCTGCGCTATGTGATCCCATCCACTCCTGTGGCATCAACCTCCCCCTCGATGGTCTAACTCCCAAATTAATTTCTCCAGCCTGACCTCTTCCTTGACCGTAGACTCTTAAATTCAATTTCTAGCTGGCCTACCAAAGCTGGATATATCATAGGCAACCCAAATTCAACATGACTAAAACCAAACTCCTAGTTATCTACTTCTCCCCTCCCAGAGTGAGAAGCCAATTTCTCCTCTTTTTGTAAATTCTTTCACATAATGTAGAACCATGGGAAATTTGACTCTTTCCTCTTGCTCCAACCTACATCTTACCCAATACTGAGATCTCCAAACTCAACCTCCTAAAGAAATTTTCTGCTCTCCTTAAATAGAATTCTGTGGTCATTAGGTATTCCAGAAAAATAGATTCCATGGTAAATGTACTGGCAAATGCTAGAAAACTATGAAGAAAGTCCTTACCATAGAACATTTCAGAGCCATTACTATGCCAGTGGTTTTCAAGCTTCCTAATGCTGCAGTGTGTTTTCATTGTTAACAAAGATTCGTGACCCACAGGTTGAGAACTGCTGTTCTAGACACACATGAGGTGATGTCTTTGCCAAGCTTATTTTAGCATCTCTGTGGAGCGCCTTTTGGCATCTCACATGCCTTGTCATCAGTTCAGGCACCGCTCTAAGCCATTCCATTCTCCCCCCTCTGGTTCCCTAGGTATGGTCTTTTTTTTTTTTTTTTTGGAGACAGAGTCTCACCATGTTGCCCTTGGTAGAGTGCCGTGCCATCGCAGCTCACAGCAACCTCAAACTCCTAGGCTCAAGCGAGTCCCTTGCCTCAACCTCCTCCTGACTGCCCAATCCAAATAGCTTCCATGCCCTCCCCCCCATCTGGTCTTATTACTGTCTGAATTAAATCAGTTTGTTTACTTATTTATTGTCCATCTCTCCTACCACACTATCCCATGAGATTGGGGGTGGGAGTTACTCATTGCTTTATCTCCAGAGCATAAGACTATGTTTGGCACATTCTCAACATTAAATATTAATATTTGTTGAACAAATTAATGTCCAACAGAGGTGTGGCACATAATACTCATGAGTATCTGAGCACTAAGGCTTACTACTGTGCTAAACACACTAACGGAATTGCCTCTTATCACCCTAAGTATTACCCTTAGCTCTACTTTCCACTGAGACACAGGTGTTTAGTAGCTTGCTCGGGTCCCAAAGTAAGAAGAAACATGAATACAGGCAGCCTGATCCAAAGCTATGTTAGCCACTGTGCTATCCTGGAGGAGAAAATGAACCAAGGACTATTTGCCTTTTGTATTTCACACCATTTTCAGAATGTTCTGTCTCTAACTCCTGACACTGGCTCAGAGACCCAGCTCCTATTTCTTGTTCTGAAGGGTCAGAGAGAGTAGAATTATCTTTCCAGTTAAAGCTACTCCTGCCTTGATGGAATTTAACTATTTACTTGTCGTGGTATAGGAGAAGGACAAGGGGCTGGAAATCCAGACTCCTGGAGCTGACTGCTGGCTCTGCCAAGGGTTCTCCAGCAGAGCCCTGGCCACCTGCTTCCTTTCCATCACTCTCAGCTACTCCAGCTGAGCACGGTTCTGATGTTCTGTGACTCTGGCAGGTGCAGATCTTCACAGTTCCCCTCAGTTCACAACTCTGGACACCACGGAGAGGTGCCCCCTTTCTGACCGCTAGAGGCTGACCCTGGCCCCTGGGTATGAAAAGTATAGACTTTTCTAAAATACAAGAAGCAAAGTAACTTGCCCCTGGAAAACAGAAAACTGGGATGTAACTCACCCTCCTTCAAGAGTGACACACAGTGACAGCCAAGCAAACACCTTCCCTGCAATATTTATTAAGGAATTTACACATACACAGGAGAAAGGCAACCAGGAATTGTGGTTCCCACACATGAAATCTTTTAAGCAAAGTCTTCTTGTTTGAATTTTCAAGTGAGGTGAACAATGACTGAGAGGAAAGCAGTCTGGGCCCTGCGCCTCCCACACTCGGGAAGGTGGGATACAGGGCACCCTGGATACACAGGCATGAAGAGTGATTGGCAGATTGGGAGAAGGGAGAGGAGGAAGAGAGCTATGGACGAGACGGCAATTTTTTTAAACTACAAGAAAAACTGGCAACAGTTTTAGGCTCTTGATAAATTAACTCCTCTCTGTTGTAAACCTAAAACTAAAAAGAAAAAAAAAAACACTCAGAGCAGATGGGGAGGGGTGGGAGGCAAAATCCACACGTTCGCACACACACACACATACACACACATGAACAGTATACATGTTAAGCTGTGTGTTCCCACTGCGGGGTTGGTCCTCTAGCCATGGAGCCAGATCTCATGGAAGGCAGTGAGGAGGTGGGGGAGGGATGCATGTTTGTGTGTGAACTTCATGAAGTCTTTGGTGCTAACAAAGGCTGACGGAAGCAGCAACTCCGGAACCCCCAGATCCAGAAAGCAACTCAGGGCAAACAGATTAATATTTCTGCTCTTCCACATAAGAGGGGGCTTGCCTCACCGCAGGGGTAGGGCCAACCTGATCCAAAAGCCAAGGAGTTATTTGATTCAGTACTTTCTTCAATCCTATGAAATCATGAGCCACACGTTCCCTCCCTCCTCAAATGTGAACACTTAGAGATAGCTTATTAACACGTATAGAAGGACCTCTAAACTTTACCCTCTTTGCCTATATGCATCATCTGCAGACCTTTCCCAGAGTCTGAAAGGAGATTTAACCTTGAAGGAAGGTTCTCAACGGTATGCACGTTTCTCCTGCAGTTTAAGTGCCTTCTGCCAACAATTTCTAAGGTGCTGGTGCCAGGAGAGGACTAGGGGCTGAGAGCCTGGGAGAGAATCGGGATGGCGAGGGAGGCATGTACAACGTAAAGCAACAGAGAGGTCTTCGCGTGGGAAGTGGCTGGGCTGGGCAGGATGCCAAATCCCAAGTGACTTATTGAGCAATTTCTAAACCAAACGGAGAAAAGTCAGAAAAGAGGAGGGGTGGTGATGGAAGAAGTTGGGGAAAGGAGAGAAAGAGGGAGAGCGAGGGCTGAGGAGAGTGACAGCCATTTGGGTGTTTTGCTTTTATTTCCACATCTGAGGACTGAGAGTCTGATTTGCTGCCTGTCCATTTCCGCCGCTCATTGACTGTCCATAGTTGATCATGCCGTTGGCTCCATAGAAATTCATCCCAGCCATCTGCTGGGTCATCTGAAAGGGAGAGAGGAGACTTTCAGACCTGGCTGTGGGCAATCAGCCAATTAGTGCAAAAGGCAGGGTAGGAGTCCTTCTGTCTGCAGAGACAGGGAGAATGAGACAAAGGGAAACTTTGTTATGTGTGGTACACTCTGGACCTTGGCAGTCAAGATCGTTTCTAGACCGTGTACATGAAAGACTTGTCAGGAGTGTGGTGCTGAAAGAGACTAATGCTCAGGGAGGAGAAGACGACATCTGGATCTGGTCAACAGGAAAGCAGCAAGAGATGCTCTCTTTTTCCTTTCCAGTCCCTCATCCTAAGTAGAAAGGCCTGTTGTTAACTTGCCCAGCCAACCCTGAGAGCTGAAGGAAAAGTCCTCACTTGATACTCCTGCTGCATTTCCAGTGGACAGCTAACACTGTCAGTGTCAGGGAAAACGCCTGTGCACACTCACTTGTTTGCAGAGGACAACAATAAAAAGGAACTTAGCTGTTTCAAAATGAAAAAAACAAAACAAAACAATAACAAACCAACATGTTTTCAGTGTATGAGAAGGAAAAGAGCTGGGAGAAATGTATCAGAGGAATAGGCCTGGAAGGTGGAGGGGAAGGGGAATGGCAGGCCCTCTCCACCAATTAGATTGAAAGACTGGCCTCTGAGCAAACAGAAGAAAGTTTATCAAAGAAAAATGCCTTGAATTTCCTGAGCTTAGCTTATTTTCTAAGTTCTTTTTTTCCTTTTTTTTAGGAGAAACTCTATTTTCTTCTATCAACTTTTTAAGAAAATTTCCAACTTACAAGTTGAAAATTACAATGAAACCCATACACCTCTTTCTTAAATTCACCAACTGTTAGCATATTACCATATTTTCAAGTATGTAAAACATTAAAAAACTTTTTGATGAGCATGGAAAGTTGCAGATAATGACATTTCATCCCTTAATAAGTCAGAAGGCATCTCACAAGAATAAACACTTAACCACAATACAATTTACACACTTAAGAAATCTAACAATACAACATTCTATTAATACACGGAATTTCATTTTTATATCTCTTGAATCACCGTTAGCCTAGAATAGTTCTTTTTTTTTTTTTGGTAGAGATAGAGTCTCACTTTGTCGCCTTCAGTAGAGTGCTGTGGCATCACACAGCTCACAGCAACCTCCAACTCTTGGGCTTAGGTGATTCTCTTGCCCCAGCCTCCTGAGTAGCTGGGACTACAGTGCCCGCCACAATGCCCGGCTATTTTTTTGTTGCAATTTGGCTGGGGCCAAGTTTGAACCCACCACCCTCAGTATATGGGGCTGGTGCCCTACCCACTGAGCCATAGGTGCTGCCCTGACACTGACATTTTTAAGAATCCAGACCAGTTATTTTATAGACTGTCTCTCAATCTGGATTTATCTTATGTTTTCTAATGACTGGATCCAAGTTTAATATTTCTGGCAAGAATTCTATGTAGATGATATTATACTTAACTTGTCTCCTTCATAATTTTATGGCCACTTGGCTAAAGTAGCAGCCATATTTTTTTCATTGTAATTAATAAGTAAGCTGAGGACTACCTTCTTTGAGAATGAGTGAATATGTTATTCTTTCTACAATTATTAGCTGTCATTCTTCTGTACAAAAGGCTTTCTCTCCCTCCATTCCATACCCTTTTTAAAAAATATTGCTATGAACTTAATGGATTTTTTTTTTCATTCAAAGTGCTATAACCTTCAGGGGCAGTGGTTCATGCATGTAATCCCAGCACATGGGAGGCCGAGGGGAGTAGATTGCCTGAGCCAAAGTGATACCTCAACACTCAAAATAGTCGGGCGTTGTGGCAGGCACCTGTAGTCCCAGCTACTTGGGAGGCTGAGGCAAGAGAATTGCTTAAGCCCAGGAGTTTGAGGTTGTTGTGAGCTATGACGCCACGGTACTCTACCAAGAGTGACAAAATGAGACTCTGTCTCAAAAATAAATAAATAAATAAACATTTGCAAAGTAATATACTCCACATTAAAAAAAAGTGCTATAACCCACTACTATCATTATTCTTTTTTTTTAGAGACAGAGTCTCACTTCGTCGCCCTCAGTAGAGTGCCACAGCATCACAGCTCACAGCAACCTCCAGCTCTTGCGCTTAGGCGATTCTCTTGACAGCCTCCGAGTAGCTAGGACTACAGGCACCCGCTACAATGCCTGGCTATTTTTTGTTGCAGTTTGGCTGGGGCTGGGTTTGAACCTGCCACCCTTGGTAAATGGGGCCAGCACCCTACCCACTGAGCCACAGGCGCCACCCCATTATTCTTTTCGATCTTCAAATCATCCCACATTTGGCCAGTGAGAACCTCTAGAAGATGGCTCATGTGTCCCTTTGACATCTTCCCTTTGGTTTTTATAGAACTTTCTTACACAAATAAAAACGAAAGACTGAAAATAGGTGCATTAAAACCCTAACTATGAATGCTAGAAAAATAACAAAATAAGCCAAAAGAAAACAGATGGGAGGAAATAGTGAAGATAAACCAGAAATTGACATAGCCAACAGAAAAATGTAGAGTAAATCAAAACCCTGGTTCTTTGAAAGAATTAACAAGACTGCTTGGCATAACTGTAGATAAATTTTAAAACCTTGATGAAATGGATAATCTAGGTAAATTCAGAAAATTATTAAATAATTACTATTAAAGAAAACAATAGGGCCACACAGTTTCACATGGAAATTCTACAAAATCTTCAAAGATCAATACTATATAACTTATTCCAGACCACAAGGAAAACCACAAAGATACTTTTATGAAGCATCACACTGCTGCTACCCCAGTAAGATAGTATGCGCGCGCATGTTCACAGTACACAAACACCACCCCTTTGGTATCCCTTTCTCTCTCTTCATTTTCATATCAAATCACTGTTTTAGGTACACTCCTTTGTACCTAGTTGAAAACTAGGTATTGTTTTGCCAGTCACTTTGAACATCATTTTGTTTTGAAAGAAGAGTTGCCTGATATGACTAATAAATACAGTGTCAGTTGCATCATATTTCTATTGTGTTTATAACATTTGCTGCACTTTGTAGCCTATGCTAAAAAATTCTTTGTGTATATATAAAGTTTCATACTTTTGTTCTAGTGATTACCGCTATGTAAAACTTTTAAGTAGCTCGGTGGTTATGGCGCCAGCCACATACACTTAGGCTGGCGGGTTTGAACCTGTCCCAGGCCTGCTAAACAACAAAGACAACTGCAACCAAAAATAGCCAGGCACTGTGGCAGGTGCCTGTAGTCCCAGCTACCTGGGAGGCTGAGGCAAGAAAATCACTTGAGCCCAAGAGTTTGAAGTTGCTGTGAGCTGTGATGCCACAGCACTCTACCAAGGGCAACACAGTGAGACTCTGTCTCAAAATAAATTAATAAAAATAAAAAAATAAAACTTTTAAGCATCCTTTTTCCTTACTCAAGCTTCCATGATTTGATTGGTCAGCTTATTAGACTCTTTTGTACTTATTTCCTGTGCAACTACCAATTACTTATTCTACTTTCCCCTTTTTTCTCCCTCCTCCTGTTACTTTTAGTTGTATTTCTGTTTGTCAGAACACAATGCATATTCTGCCATCCTTGTTACCCACCTTTGTTTTAGTCTTAGATTCTCAACTAAACATTTGATGCTCACCATCAGTACTTTTGCCAAAAATGACCCAAGTCATCTCGTATACAAATGAAGTTTTATCTTCTGTTGAAGACCTCACGAAAGGCTTGGAAGTATGATAGTCCTTGAGTTCCTGCATATTTAGGATTTTTTTTGAAGTGTCAGTATCTGAAAGAAAGCTGGGCTATAAAATAATTGTCTTACATGTACTTGAGTGTCCTGAAAATATTACCCCCATTTTTTTCTTCTATGCTGTTAAGAGGTCCGATGTTGACCTGGTGTTCCTTTTTTTTTATTTGTAAGTGATAGATTTTTGTGGGTAGGAGGTATAAAGAAGGCTGGAGTCCTGAGGATCTTTTTTTTTTTTTTTTTTCTGGTTACTTAAAGTCTCAAGTTTTACTGGGATATGTTTTAGAGTTGACTGTTCTGGATCAATTTTCCCACACACATAGTGGGCTCTTTCATTCTTTCTTTTTTTTTTTTTTTTTTGAGACAGAGCCTCAAGCTGTCGCCCTAGGTAGAGTGCCACGGCATCACACCTCACAGCAACCTCCAACTCCTGGGCTCAAGTGATTCTCCTGCCTCCACCTCCCAAGTAGCTGGGACTACAGGCACCCACCACAATGCCCGGCTATTTTTTGGTTGCAGCCATCATTGTTGTTTGGTGGGCCTGGGATGGATTTGAACCTGCCTGCTCAGGTCTATGTGGCTGGCGCCTTAGCCGCTTGAGCCACAGGCACTTAGCCAGTGGGCTCTTTCAATACTATATCCAAGTTCCTTATTTCTAGAAAGTTTTTCTTGTATTACAGTTTTAAATATATTAATTTTGTTCCATATTTTGTTTTACTTCTTTGAGCATTCCAAATATCTACGTCAGGTTTTCTTTGCCTATCTTCTACATTACTTTCACTCTTGTTTTTACTCCTCTGTGTGTGTGTATGGATGGGTATTTTTTTTTTTATGAGACAGAGTCTCACTATGTCGCCCTCAGTAGAGTGCTGTGGCATCACAGCTCACAGCAACCTCAAACTCTTGGGCTCAAGCAATTCTCTTGCCTCAGCCTCCCAAGTAGCTGGGACTACAGGTGCCCGCCACAATGCCTGGCTATTCTTTGTTGTTGTTGTAGTTGTCATTGTTGTTTAACAGGCCTGGACTGGGTTGGAACCCGCCAGCCCCAGTGTATGTGGCTGGCATCCCAACCACTAACCTACAGGCACCAAGTCTCCTTTGTATATTTAGTTTTCATTCTGTTGGCTATTTTGTGCCTTTCCTCAATGTCAAATATGTTTTCAAGTGAATCTACTCTCCTTTGGATAACTTATAATTCAGTCTTTATTTCTTTTTTTTTTTTATAGTATTTAAATTTATTGTTTCAAGTTCGGTCTAGTGAGGCATAAGCTGGGATGGCTTAAGTATCTCAGATGTCCACGCTTCTTTCCTTTACAATTACAGGTCATGGGCTTCATCAACCTAGCCCTAGAATATAGACCAAGTAAGTATCCTTGAATTTAGAAGGAATAAAAAGATAGTATTACTGTAATTTCTCAACTGTCTGGTATTTAGAGGAAACAGCACATTTCACAGGATTCTTCAGAGCTGCTCGTTGAAGCTTTTGCACCTTCTTGGTCATGGTAGCAGAGAAGAGAAATGTTTTCCGATCTCGGGGAATCACTTTGAGGATCTTGTCAACCTCTGTCTCGAAATCCATGTTCAATATTCGGTCAGCTTCATCCATGACCAAGTATTTGAGAGCTCTTAAGTTGAAGCCTTTTGTATTTTCCAGATGGTCAATTAGTTGCCCCGGGGTTGCTATTACTACATGTGGTTTTTTTGCCAGGGCCAGAGATTGAGACGTTGAATCAATTCCACCCACAATCACAGCACACTGCACTCCAATAGAGGATCCCAGGGCTTCAAACTGCTCTGAGATCTGAAAAGCCAGCTCCCAAATGGGAGTGAGAACTAGGGCAAATAAACACTGGGCTGTCTCCAGCAGCGCATTCAGAATGGGCAAAGCAAAAGCCCCTGTTTTTTCAGAGCCAGTTTCTGCCAGCCCAATGATATCACGACTTTGTAAAGCTAACGGAATAGCTTCAATCTGGATCTTGGTGGGCTTTGCCCATCCCAACGGGTCACAGGCTTCACACAATACATCTGTTACACCCAAGTCTTTAAATGTTTTAATTTCCTCCTCCTCCGCTGCCGGCTAGGGAGCTTCATGCTCCTCAGGGGCAGCCATCTTGTCCCTCAGTCTTTATTTCTAAGATAATTTTTTTTTTCTCCGAGACAGAGTCTCACTCAGTACCCAGGCTAGTGCCATGGCATGAGCCTAGCTCACAGCAATCTCAAACTCCTGGGTTCAAATGATCCTCCTGCCTCAGCCTCCTAGGTAGCTGGAACTACAAGCATCCACCATAACACCCAGATAATTTTTCTATTTTAGTAGGACAGGGTCTCACTCTTGCTCAGGCTGGTCTCAAACTTCTGAGTTCAAAGGATCCTCTCATTTTGGCCTCCCAGAGTGCTAGGATTATAGGCATGAGCCATTGTGCCAGGCCTGTTTCTAAGATTATTTTGTCTTTTTCTTTCTTTTCAGTAGACGTCCATTTCTCAACATCCAGTTTTTTTTAACCATTTTGGTTCTAAGTTTTTGAATTTCTGATTTATACTAATCTGCAAATATCTGCTTAAGGACATTTAATTAAGGTTGGTGGATTACATAACAATTTTCTTCTGCTTCACGACTGTTTTGGAAGAGAATTTGTAATTACCTGAAATGTTTTTATTTTCATTTTCTATTTTCTTCTTACAGTGTTTTGTAAGTATGGCCATGATGTGCCATACTGTTATTTTGGTAGTGTCTTGTTTTTCCAAATCAGCAATAAGAGACAGGTGTGAGGGTCTGGGGAGACTTGCTAAATTTCTTAGTTCAAGAGCACCATCTTCTGAGTAAAATGATTATTTTAGAGGAAGGAGGATATTGTATATTCTGTTCTCATGATTCTTGTTTCCGCTTCTCATTTCTTTCTTTCCTTTCACCACCAGGTTTCCAAAGATTACTTCCTTCTTTTTCTTTTTTTTTTTTTTTTAGACAGAGTCTCAAACTGTTGCCCTGGGTAGGGTGTCACGGTGTCATAGCTCACAGCAGCCTCCAACCCTTAGGCTCAAGCGATCCTCTTGTCTCAGTTTTTCTATCTTAGTAGAAACGGGGTCTCGCTTTTTTTGCACAGGCTGGTCTTGAACTTGTGAGCTCAAGGTATCCACCCGCCTGAGCCTCCCAAAGTGCTAGGATTACAGGCATGAGCCACCATGCCTGGTGTCAGATTATCTCCTTCTTCTAAGTCATGCCCATCTTCCCCAGAAGCAATGCTTTTCCAAGGCTACCACCTATACTCCTGCATAGTTCAAGTCCCTTATTTTAGATCCTCCAAGTAACTGGAATTCTAACCTACCAGGTCTTACACCTGCTCTCAGTACATCTCTGATCAGGACAGGTCTCTCTCCTCTGGGTAGGTAGGAGGGGCTGTCACCCCTTGCTCTTCTTCTTTTTACAGAGATGCCTGTTTGATGCTGGCTCTGCTGGACTGGGGTGTTTATATGCCCACTGCCATGTCATTTGAAGCCTTTAGTAAGTATTCTATCCACTAGATGTGGTCAGAATATTTTCACTCTCATTTGTATATGTTTTGTGTTACTTTTGTTTTTGAGAATGTGTGGAAAGATTCAGATTCAAGCAGTTGCTTTTATTCTATAGGAACACAGAACTCCTCAGAAAGTCTGACTTTAGATAGACCTTTTGTGGGGGGTAAAAAAACAAAAGCAAACTTAAGAATGTCTCTGGCATTATCTCATCTACTTGGAAAGGATTCAAAGGATAAGAGAGAGACATAAACTGAGACAACCTTGAGGAAGGCTCAAAATTCTCGTCCCATGTAAAATGGGGTTGCTTACCTGAGTAAGGTTCCACTGTAGCTGCTGAGCTGGCTGAACCCCATACATAGTCTGGGGCATGGCTGTCATCCCTGCCATGTAGCCGGCCTGTGGGGTGGTCATCATTCCATTCGGGACACCCATCATTGACGCCTGAATGCCACCCATGTAGCCTGCAGGCATGGCCATGGGGGCAACCATCCCAGAGGCTCCTGGTTGAGCTACCATGCCTACTGGAGGGGGCATCATGCTCCCCATTATGCTGTTCGGCGGTGTAACCCCAGGGAAGCCGTGGTAGGCTGTGGGATATGCCATCTGAGCAGGAGCCATGAACATTGCTGCCAAGAGAACATACATACAAGTGTGTTAAAGAGGAAAGAACAAAGGCAGCCCAAATTCTCACTCCTGGATACTCCTTTCCAGCTAGAATTTGTCAGGACTACTGAACTCAGTATGCTCTTTTACACAGTAAAGTAGTTAGGGTCTCTGCAAGATTTCTCTTTAAGGGTCAATCCAGACCTAAGTCAGGCACCATACAGGAGTATGGCTTTGAGTTGCATTAAAATCTATCTGCTAATATTTTGTAGCCTCACAAGAAATGTTAGAGAGCTGAAGTGGAAAAGGAAAAAAACAATAGAAGGAAATGTCATGTTCAGGCTTATTTGGCATATGATGTCCTAGCCCCCAAAGCAACTGTCCCCTGTCAGAACAAACAGCTCCTGAATGAAAGCCCTCATGCCTTTACTGGGCACATCAGCATCACGACCATGAAATCTACCTTGAGTAGGCATCTGAGGTGTCTGGGATCCATAGAGTGAAAGGATGGAGTCTTTAGAGAGCTGCTTCTTGCCTATTTCTTCTGATTTGTTCCCCGGCTCTGGAAACAGGTTCAGGTTTTCAGGAACAGAGCCGGCACTCCCTGCAGTTGGCATAGAACCTACAACCTTAGGGCAAAGAGGGCATGGGGAGAATCGGAATGGTTTTCATGAGGGTGAGGGTCTCTTTGAGAATTTCCCTCACCTCTCTGCTGCTTCTTGCATTTGTAATAAGAATTTATGGCTCAAGTTAACTTTTTCATCATATAAATATCTAAAAACACTTGATAGTTAAGCTCTGGTATAAGGGATATAGCAGACAGAACTGAATTTCAATCCCAGTTGTATAACCAGAGGCTAGTCACGTAACTTTTCTGAACTAATGTTTTCTCACCTGTAAAATATCCACTATATGGATTTGGGGGGTGAAGATTTGAACTTATTGTTGTTGTTATTATTATTATTGAGACAGAATTTCACTTTGTCACCCTCAGTGGAGTGCTGTGGCATCACAGTTCATAGCAACCTCAAACTCTTGGGCTTAAGCAATCCTCTTGCCTCAGCCGCTTAGGTAATTAGGACTATAGGCACCCTCTGTAATGCCTGGCTAGTTTTTCTATTTTTAGTTGAGACACGGTCTCGCTCTTGCTCAGGCTGGTCTTAAACTCCCAAGCTTAGGCAATCCACCCGCCTCGGCCTCCCAGAGTGCTAGGATTACAGTTGTGAGCCACCACGCCCAGGCCTAAGATTTGAAATTATTAATGAAATATACAAAATGATATTAAAAAAACACCTAGCACTATTCCTAGGATACAGCAGGTACTTCACAAATGGTAGCCTTTAAAAGTTTCAAGTCTTTCATATCTGATTCTCTGGCAGTAACGCAGGCTGAGGTGTTAGCCTGAAGTGTCAGCCTTCACATTATCAGACATCTTAGATAGAGGCCAATTCAAAGGGTCTACCTTCTCCAGGCAAGAGACAAAACAGTCTGAACAATAACCTTACAATATGACAGAAATGATACAATGTTAAGGCAAGAATCAAGAAAACTGGCTCGGTGCCTGTGGCTCAAGTGGCTAAGGTGCCAGCAATATACACCTAAGGTGGCAGGTTCAAATCCAGCCTGGGCCTGCCGAACAATGACGGCTGCAACCAAAAAATAACCAGGTGTTGTGGCGGGTGCCTGTGGTCCCAGCTACTTGGGAGGCTGAGGCAGGAGACTCACTTGAGCCCAAGAGTTGGAGGTTGCTGTGAGCTGTGATGCCACAGCATCTACCTAGGGGGACAGCTTGAAGCTCTGTCTCAAAAAAATAAAAAAAAGAATCAAGAAAACTAAAATCCAAATGCACCAAGGGGGCATGACTTGGTTCTATGATCAAGTTATTAAAATCACCCTTTCTAGAATGCTCTTTAATCCTGAGGAACCTATAATCTTTAAGACTTACCTTTCTGGAAACTGAAGAAGAAGGTGATGGAACAGAGGCCAAAAGATCTAAATCCTTCTCTAGGTTATTGCTGGTCTTACTATTTGCAATGGAGCAGGCCACAGGAGCATCTAGAAAGAGATCAAAGCTAAAATGTAGCAGAGCTCATTAAGCCCAAACCTTCCTTCTATTCTAGACAAAAAGCAGACAGAGAAGGCCCATAAGCTCCATTGTGGACCTAAAAATCTAGAGTTCTGGAACCATCTAGCTTAGGTGGGGCTTTTCAGAAGAGGTCTCACTCCACATTCCCAAGAGCACTTTGAGGAAGCCCAGCTGTCAGGCACAGGCTGCAGAAACTCAGGCCTGACGGGTTCATTGGCACTACAGCTGGTTATCTGAAGGGCAAGGTGTACAGGATTCATTTGCAGAGAGTATGAAAGGTACAGAAATTGGAAGCCTAAACAGGCAATAATCTCAATCAGCAGAAGTGGACTGAAGCAAAGTATAATAATCCGTGTTGGGAAAAGTAGGAAACAGGCTTGCTTTCTCAAAAGGCAGAGATGCTAATTCAGGATTTCAAAGGTTTGGAGGAATATGACCAGGAGGTAACAAGCCATCTCAGAAACAGGCTGCACTTGACAAATGAAAGCGATGGGGCAGGGAGTGGAGGGAAATGGCATGAGGCTCGAGGTGCTGTTTAGCAAAACTGCTAACATTTATTAAGTGCTCAGTATGAGCCAGGCATGGTCTGAGAGCTTTAAAGGCATCACTTCATTTAATCTTCTCAACAATACCTTTTAAGTGTCCTATCCTCACTATGTAGATTAGGAAAGTAAGGTTCATAGGTTAAGGAAACAACCCAAAATCACACAAACAGTCAGCGGCACAGTTGGGACTCTAGCTCCAAAGGCCATGTTCTTAACCACTACACTGGACTGTCACTCTGAAAAATGTCACAGTAAACACTTCTTTAAAGCAATGCTCAGATGTAGAACATAACAGGAAGAAGGTGAGAGAACAATCTCAGTGGTGAAGACACAAACTGGAGAATCCTATCTTCCCAGGGTCACTGACAATTCATCACAATTTATAAGAATACAGGAGCTGAAAAGTCTAACTCTTACCAAGGCCCAACAAATCCATGACAGGTGCTGAGGATTTCGGGGAGCTTTTCCGAGGTAGCTGTGGATCTTCTTTTTTCTGTGGCTAAGTGAAAATATGTCATAGAAAGAAATAAGCAGGTGTTTTTGAACTCTCTTCCCGCTCTCCACTGTAAAGCCACAGGTATTCTTTGGTATGGCTGCTGTTATTCAAAAAGAGTTACTGAAGAAACAAAACTTGGGAAGTATCAGGGGAAAGAGTCAAGTCAAGAGGCATGAGTGCATAAACCAAAGTAGCATCTGTGCTTGTCTGGCATTCTGAAGAGATGAACCTTTCTGAAACCAAGACAGCCACAGATCAGGGGATCCAACAGAAATAGCAGTTTTTGGTACTAAGAAAAGCCAAGAATTTAAAGGTAAGTGTCTGATGGTACAAGAGCCAAGAGCCAACAAATCTCCCAGTGGTTAGATCACCTTTTAACACCAAAAGGGAGATCAGTTTAAAGATTACCTAATTCTGCCAACATCACTACTGACTGTGTCCACAATGTGATTCAGAATGATGATAAAAGACTCTTCCTTAATAATAGTAAATAGAATCCTTTTGCTCAAGATTTCTTATATGAGAGTTTCTACTACTACAGCCACAATATGTCCTATGGAAAAAGAAAGGTGTTTACTTCATATGTCAAAGCAAGAATAAAAGAAAGGATCATTTAAAGTGCTCTAGACTGTTCTTAACTGAAGAAAATGAGATTCAGAAGGTCTGACAAGAGAAGGACTAATGTGGAGGTAGCATCTGCTCAGAAGGTGCCAGGCAGCAGGCAGCCTTGGCCTTCTGCTTGGAACATGCCTCTTGCTTAGCTGGACAGATGCATTTCCCAAGCTCTCATCTGGCCCCAGAGAGAAGTGTAATAGAGCAGATTAGGCAACAACAGATAATGGGAGAGAAGCAGAAATGGCAGCAGGCGATGGGATCCAGATGTGCAAACCTTTTATCCAAGGTGCAATGGTGCAGTATGGTATCAATGCCACTCCTCCCCTCCACACATATAAACACACCCAAGGCCACTCACAAATATTTTCCCACTTACCATTTTCACTTTCTCAAAAACAACAGGCTCCAGTTTTTTCTCTTGAACTGGTTCACTCCCTCTTTTCCACTTGTCATCTTTTTCTTTCTATAATAATTTAATAAACAAAACAGAACAAAGGATCCATGGTAACTAATAGTTTGATAAATTATAATTCATACATCCAAAGAAGATATCCCAAATCCCCATGGATTCTGAAGCAGGTGTCTGACAAACTAGGGGAGTGGTTTGGTGCGGGACTGAGAGTTGGCCTCTTCCATGTTAGGCTAAATGCTGTCTGAGGCATCCTCCAAACACCTGCGCTCCTGGCTTAACCTACTCATGGCTCTTAAAATTTGTAGTCTAGGGGATCTACACAGGCTAAAACTTGTACCAGTTTGCTGCCCATTTTTGCCCCAAATTTAACTTGCTCATGTATTGAGAGGTCCCCTCTCATCTCTTGGTATACTATTGATTAGTTCATGTTCATCCATGTTCAACTATGTCCTTTGTGATTTAATAAATTTAATCACAAGTCCTCTTAATATTGATCTTGTTCATTCGTTCATTCATTCATTCATTTATTGGAAACAAGAGTCTTGCTCTGTTGCCCCAGCTAGAGTGCAATGTTGTCACTGTAGCTCACTACAACCTCAAACTCCTGGTTCAAGCAATGTTCCTGCCTCAGCTTCTCAAATAGCTGAGACTACAGGCATGTACTATCACACCCAGCTGATTTTTCTACCTTTTGTGGAGATGGGGTCTTGCTCAGCCTCATCTGGAACTCCTGAGCTCAGTGATCCTGCCAACTCGGCTTCCCATAGTGCGAGGATTACAGACATCAGTCACTACACCCAGCCTCATCTCCTTTTATTTATTTATTTTTTTTAGAGACAGTCTCACTTTGTTGCCCTTGGTAAAGTGCCATGCTGTCACAGCTCACAGCGACCTCCACTTCTTGGTCTTAGGCAATTCTCTTACGTCAGCCTCCCAAGTAGATGGGACTACCGGCGCCTGCCATAATGCTCGGCTATTTTTTTTGTTGTTGCAGTTGGGCCAGGCTGAGTTTGAACCAGCCACCCTCAGTATATGGGGCCAGCACCCAACTCACTGAGCCACAGGCACCGCTCCTCATCTCCCTTTTAAAAAATAAGAAAATAAACCTTAATTTCAAGTTTAAAAACCATAAGGACAGAAATTAAGTTTAACATTAAATAAACAGCTAAATGTAAAATAAAGGCCATGTGCAGTGGCTCACACCTGTAATCCTAGCACTCTGAGAGGCCAAGGTGGGTGGATTGCTTGACCTCAGGAGTTCAGGATCAGCTGAGCAAGAGCGAGACCCCCATCTCTAAAAAACGAAAAACCCCAAAACTAGCTAGGTATTGTGGCAGGCACCTGTAGTCCCAGCTACTTGGGAGGTTGAGGCAAGAGAATTGTTTGCACCTAAGAGTTTGAAGTTGCTGTGAGCTACGACACCAGGGCAGTCTACCAAGGGTGACAAAGTGAAACCCTGTCTCAAAAGAAAAAAAGAAAAGGAAGAATATTCTTTAATTGACAAACCCAGTTTCTTTTCATTTGATATTAAATGCCTTTGCTTAGCGAATATTAATCCTTGGCATTAAAAATCATCACAAGAATTTTTTTCTGTTTAATTTTTTAATAATTATAATATTCTAAAGCTTTCCACAGAAGGGCATTATAGTTCTTCAATTTATTATAAACATATCTTCTAAAACAAAAAGTCACCCCTCCCCCAAAAAAGTCAGCACCATACCATAAACCACAATAAAGAACATGTTACTTAAATAAACAGGGAATCATATTTCAATCCAATAGATTTTTTTCTCTCCATATCTATGCACAATGGTGATATTTTATGGGTTAATTTCTAAACAAATTTTTAAAAACTGATGAAAGCTATGATTTACTCAGGAATACTATTTTCATATAACATACAGTTATTTAACAGTAGGTACAAGTTTGCCAAGCTTCGATGGCAAAATGCTAAGTTCTAAGTTTAGTATTGTCCAGCTAGTTGGATTCTCCCTGCCCTGCAGACTTTGGCAGCACACGCTGTTGAGAGACCACCTTGTTCTCTTTTCATTATCAAATCCACTGCAGTAGAACATTCATGTCCGTAAGATGCAAGGCCTTGCATAAAGCCTCCTACAAATCCACTGGATATCATGATGTTCTGTTTGATAAATTCTCTGGCTTCTTCAATTATATAGTTGATTTCAGGTGCTGCTTTATTAGCTCATTTCTTAATCTGTCCTTTTGCTTTGTTTACATCTTTTCAACTCTTTTCCAGTCAATCTACACATAGCCACTGTGACTGGCAATCTGAAGGAGAAGAAAGCCACCACCTAATGCAGTTGCTGCAAGCTTTCCAACCTTCTGGAACAAAAGTCTTGCACACCTGTGTCTTTTTTCTATTAAACCTGTTTTGTGTGTCACCTATCCTGTAAGAGTATCAGCCTACATTTGGGGGATGAATTGTCTCCTTAAGAGAGCTCACATTCCCTTCAGTATTCCAGATCCATGCCGTGCCAAAAAAAAAAAAAAAAAAAATCACAAGTTTTTTTTTTTTTTAAATTTAAACACATTAAATAAAAACTTCTGAAATACCTTTTTGGTAAACAGGAGGTATTTCCTTCCTAAGTGAAAACATCCAGTGAGTAAAACAGGCTTGCTTTCATGGGAAAGTACACTTCACTTCATTATTACGAACACCTAAGAGGAGAGATGCTGTTTCAACGTATAACAGTTGTGTATAAACAGCAGCCCTCCCCTCCTCCTCCATCTTCTCAATTACCTCAGATACCCTCTTCTGACCTCATCTGATCGCACATCTCCAGGAACACTGAACAGAGTTAGGCAGACAGACCGCAGTGTTCTACAAATAAAAAGGAACGTGTGTTTCTGGGTTTGGGTTCTAAACCCTCTTTGATGGTGCCGTCCAGGCTGTAGCTGCACACTAGGTTCCTTCTTGGAACAGTGATGATAACTGACAGCTTTCTTTTCTGGATAACTGTGAGTAAAAGTCCTTCACACTAAGTTGAGAAGGAATTATTTTTACCCAACTACATGTATTACTTTGCATTTACTTGCCAGTGTTGAAATTCGCCTATCAGACAATGCCCCTTACACAGAGGTACAAAAAAAATTCAAGCTGAAAATGATTCCAATTAGCTTAACTTGAGTTACCTGGAAAGGCTTAGGACTCTGTGAAACCTCAGTGATTTTACTATTATGTCACTGATTAAAATAAATAGCTAGAATAGATGATAGGAGAATCCCATATTCTATATTTCTGTGGCTAGAGAAAAAAGTCAATTAATCCTAAGAGAAGTTACTACAGAATCTTGTCAAAGGCTATTTAAAAGTATAAACAGTCATACTTATTGGTTCTCTGCTAGTTGTCATTAGTCAGGGATATCTTCTTCTTCCAGAAACCATGATGTATTTCCTCTCGTATGTTGTACTAGTTTTCCCACACTATTTCATATAAGTACTGTGTGCTAACCGATTGCACCCTAGAGCTCCAATCAAATTCCAAACATGCCAAGGATGAAATGTGTATGTGGTAACTGGTAGTCAATATCCCTCTGAAACTCTTCTGAGAATAAGGGTCTCCATGGCAATCAGCCTACCAACACACTGGTTATCAGTAGATAATGCCAAAAAATATACATTGGTCAAACTAAAGAAAACACTGATAATTTACACCTAGTTTTGTTGATTTCATTTATAGAAAAAAGTGTGTGTAGATATAGCAATAGATAGATATATCTATAGTACATGTACACACATGCTATTCTATTTGATCTAGTATTCTCAACATGTTTGGCACTGGAACCACTAACATCTTCTAAATAGAGATGAATGGCCAGGCAAGATCGCTCACACCTGTAATCCTAGCACTCTGGGAGGCTGAGAGGCAGGTGGATTGCTTGAGCTCATGAGTTCAAGACCAGACTGAGTAAGAGAGAGACCCCCATCTCTACTAAAAATAGAAAAACTGAGGCAAGAAGATCACTTGAGCCCAAGAGTTGGAGGTTGCTATGAGCTATGACACCACGGAACTCTACCCAGGGTGACAGCTTGAGACTCTGTCTCCAAAAAATAAATAAAGAACTAAATAAATAGAGATGAAGGCAGAATTCATTGATGTTTTGTTTTTCCCACTTCTTTTTTTTTTTTTTCTTTTTGCAGATAGAGTCTCACTTATTCCTCCTAGGTAGAGTGCCGTGGCATCATAGCTCACAGCAACTTCAAACTCTTGGGCTCAAGTGATTCTCATGCCTCAACCTCCCAAATAGCTGGGACTACAGATGCCCCCCACCCCCACAATACCCGGCTATTTTTAGAGACTGGAGTCTCTCTCTGGCTCAGGCTGGTCTCCACCTATGAGCTCAGGCAATCCACCCACTTCAGCCTCTCAGAGTACTAGGATTACAGGTGTGAGCCACAGTGCCCCCTGTACCTGGCCATTCTGCCCACTTCTAAGGCAGAATTTTGTTCCATGATGTTATATCATGGTCTTGATTTAATAACTGGCTTTTTCTATTTGCATTTTTTTTTTTCTGAGACACAGTCTCACTAAGTCTCAGTTGAGTGTTGTGGTGTCACAGCTCACAGCAACCTCAAACTCTTGGGCTTAAGCAATTGCCTAAGCCTCCCAAGAGGTGGGACTACAGGTGCCCACCACAATACCTGGCTATTTTTGTTTGTTGTTTGTTGTTTGCTGTTGTTGTTGTCATTGTTGTTTAGCTAGGCCAAGCCAGGTTTGAACCTGCCAGCCTAGCATATATGGCTGGCAGCCTTCCCACTGAGCTAAGGGCACTTTGCATTTTTTAATGATGATTTTGGCATATTGTGGTAGCAGTTCTTCAAATTCTCCCCTGGCTTGATTAACAAGCAAATTACTTCTTAAGAACAAAACCTGAGGCTCAACCGGCTAAGGCGCCAGCCACGTACACCTAAGGTGGCGGGTTCGAATCCCCAGCCCGGACCCGCCAAACAACAATGAC